TAGGTAAAAAGTGTCATATCTAACAGACAAACGGGGATTGTAGATTGTAATCAGTTCTGAGTGGTGCTCAATGTTGCTGACAGATGAGCAGGTGGATTCTCCTAAATTGCAGGAACAGAAGAAGAGATCTTGTGTCTAATTTTAAGAGTCACCATTTTGTTCCTGCTTGCCCTCTCACTTATTCTTCTACCCAGAACCGCATGTCAAAGACTAAGGTTACCAAATAAAAATTGGGCACTCGTTTCTCTATCTGTTTCCTTTCCATGAGGATGTTAGATAAGATATTCTAAAACAACAAAGGATGGACCTTCTACTAACCATGAACTAAAAGTGATTTTTTAAATTTTATTTTCCTAGTAGTTTTTGTATTTCCAAACTAGGTATCTACTCCTGCAAAATCTCTAATGATTTAAGATGGTAACCCAGCCTGAGGCTGGAGTCTTTCAGTTATTACCCCAGAAGTAGTGACTGAGCAGTAAGAAGTAAAGTATGCAAGCAGTTTGTAAGGGATATACTCTAAAGCTGCTCTTAGGGAGTTCAAGGACTGGAACATGTATATTTCCAATCTACAGAAGACCAATATTGCGACTTATACTGCCAGCTGCTGTCTCTTAAAAGCAGTTTTCCCAGCTAGGCATAGAGAAGCTCTCTTCATGCAATTATTTTTCTCCCTTGCTACCTGTGTGGACACTACCAGCAGCCTGTGTGCAGCCTGGCTTGCTGCTATCAATATATTACTAAACAATTTAGATTTGTGAGCTTCAAAATCACTTAAAGAGTACCTTCCATGTTGTGGCTACATCCTAGTACTGAATAGGAATAGGACTGTGCTGCCACAAGGGCTGCTTGATATTACAAACTCCTGGCAATGGGACAAACTAAGGCCACTGCTGGATCATGCTGAAACTGATCAGCATGCCCTATTTATTTCTGTCACTAGGTATGGGACACAGGGAGCGCTGCTGTTATTCCTGCCTGGGAGCTGCTCTGGGAGCTCACTGCCTCCCTTCAGTAGGTACTGGCTTGGGAATCTTGGCCACATGGAGATTTTGAACATGTCTTGCAGGCTATCCGTGCTCTGCTCTTTAGTCAACCATAAAACAACGCTGATGTCTGCCCAGTTTTGTTTAACTTAAGAGGAACATTTGACTAGTCAAGATAATCGTGCAGCGCTCTCAGAATAGAGAAGTTTCATTAAAGGACTGCAAGTGAAATACTCAGGAAACTCAATATGGGAGACTGAAAAGAATAAGGAAAGGATCATTAGCCTGATACCCACAGTAAGAGTACTAAGATTAGTAATACATATATTGCTATTTACGGACATACTAAGGACTACTTGCACGTTATTATGAAGGTGAACGTCTAAATAAATTAATGTAAGTACTGATTAAGATGTTTGCTTCCAGTCTCTTCTGGGCTAGAAATGCTGCAAAAGTAATAAATTGCACATCACAGTGTCCCACAGAGCGCCTCTGAAAAGTATTTGTGTGTTTAAATAAAGATCAATTACAAATGCAAATCTATCTTCAGCTGTAACAATGATTCTATCACGAGGCCAGGGTGTATTAATAGTGCTCAGTCCTGCTTAGAATGATTTGTTCTTAATGACTGACTTGACTTAACTCAAGTGCTTGTTTCTTTCTGTCCCAATTTTCCTTTCTCAAATCTCTCTCATTACTTTGTTCTCATAGTTAACCTTTCTTTTGCCTATGAACATTGTCAGATAAGTGTGACATAAAATAAGCATCAGTTTTTAAGAAAAAGGAGAGGAAGGGGAAGTTGCCGAGTTTGTATCTGCTTGTAGACCGATGTTATGTGCTTTCTGGGCTTTCATTCACTTTCCCTCCTGCTTAAGGGAGACTATAATCTGCTATCTAGAAAATAAAAGGAATGATTCCAAAGCTCATTCTAAAGAGATTAACTTAATGTTCAAAATGTAATTACAACAAATGGCAATTTTTATAATCTGAAGCAGGCTACCCCAAAATAAAATAAGTATGTTAAAGATGCAGCATAAGTTATCTTTTGAGATGAACTGCATATATTAAAAATAAAAAAATACTACTATGCTCACCCTTTGTATCACTTTGATCTAAAAGGAAACTATACACTTAAGAATATAGCTGTTTAGAACCCTAACTTGAGCCATCCAAACTTAAATACTCAGACCAATGACTTCCAAAACGATCTTGCAGAAAAGTTGCTACTAGCTCTACATTTTAAGAAAAGCACTGATTAAAAAAAAAAAAAAATGGCCACAGTAGGAACATATAGTTCATCGTTCATTTGGATCAGATCAGAATCCATCTGTTTTAACTGGATACCTATAGTTAGAGCCAGTTTCCAGTTAAAGCAGAGATGGGTCTCCAAGGATCTGGAGAAACAGAACAGGACTGAAGGACAGGTTTAAATCTCAGTGCTTGGCAGGTGCCAAGGCACAGAAGGCTATTTGTGTTTCAAATACATCCATGGGATACTCCTGGATGAAATTCTGTTGTTTTCAACTCAACGATTTCACTTTCAGTCCCGTAATACTTATGTTGCCAGTGCAACACAAGCCATTTGATCACCTGCTTATGTGAGAATCCCAGCTTTCAGGTTCTTAAAAACACTTGTACAGTTTTAGAGAACGGCCCTGAAACGTGACTAGCGCGCTCCTATTACATCAGTGCGAATTCCACCAACGGCGCTGATGAAACCTACCGGGCACGTTCGTGTGTTTCAGTGCGCCGAGGACGGAGAAGCCGCGTTTCTTGTGAAACAGGGCCTTCCACGGAGGAGACACCGGCGCGCTCTCAGCCCG